GTCTTGAGCTCTTGCTGGGGATAGCCCTCACCTCCAGCCACTTGCTCACGTGCTCCACCATGAGCACTATATACCGTTTCCCCCCCCGGCTCAGCGGCAGTTCCCCCGCCAGGTCCAAGGACCATCTGAAGCCTAACCCGCGGATGGGCAGGGACTGCAGCTCGGCCTTGGCTTGGGTCAGGTTTGCTCGGCTCCTTTGGCAGGCCTCACATCCCTCCACCCACTTCTGCACCTGCCTGCGCATTCCCTCCCACCACCAGCCCGTCTTCAACAACTGCACTGTCCTCTCATGCCCGAAGTGCCCCAGCTTTGAGTGCACCTCCTTTATCACTGCTTCCCTGTCACCTGGGGCCGGCACCAGCTTCCACCCACCCTCGGTCTGTATCTGCAACTGCTGCTGGTACCACCTGTAGTGGTGCCCCCTTGCTCTCACCCTCTCGCTCATCTCCTCGTCTGCCCCTGTCTCTCCCTTCACCCATCTCACAGCCTGCTCATCCTCCCAGATATCAGCCGGCCCCTTGCTCCTCCTGGCCCCGCTCAGCTCCACCTGTCTGGCCAGCAGCGCAAGGGTCACTGTTGGCTCTAGCGGTGGGGGGTTACGGGAGAGGCCGTCCACATGCTGCAAGGTTTTTCCTGGCCTGTGCTTGATTTTGAAGTCATACTCCTGCAGCTGCATTGCCCATCGTGCATTCCTGCCTGTTAACCCTGGTGTAGTCATCAGCCATGTCAGTGGCTGGTGGTCCGTCACCAGGGTGAACTCCCGCCCCTGCAAGTAGACCCTGAAGTGCCCCACAGCCCATACTGCCGCCAGTCCCTCCCCTGTGTACGAGCTGTACTGTGCCTCCGCCGAGTTGCAGCTCCTACTCGCGTAGGCCACCACCTTCTCATCCCCTTCCACCTCATGGCAGAGTATCCCGCCCATCCCTTGGCTGCTCCAGTCGGTGTAGAGGGTGAAGGGTTGGTCCGCTGCTGGCAGCTGCAAGACGGTTGCTGTTTTCACCGCTGCCATCAGGTCCTGCAATGCCCCCTTCTGCGCTTCCCCCCACTCCCATGTCTTGTCCTCCCTTAACAGTCCGTTCAACACCGCTGCCCGCCTGCTGAAGTTGAGCACAAATCGCCGGTAGTAACTCAGAAACCCCAACACCGCTCTCAGCCATGTCTTGTCCTTTGGTTCTCGCAGCCTATCCAGCACCTCCACCTTTGCTTGCTGGATCCCGATCTGCCCCCCTGTCACCTCGTAGCCCAGATACTGAACGGTCTGCTCACCCCACCTACACTTCTTCGGGTGACACGTGAGTCCCGCTGCTTCTATTGCTGCCAGTGTCTTCTCCACATCCTGCAGGTGCTGCTGTTCGGAGGTGCTGAAGATCACCACGTCATCTATGTAGCACGCTGCACATTCTACGTCCCTCAGCACTGCATCCATGACTCTCTGAAACACTGCTGATGCGTTCCTCAGCCCGAATGGCATGTAAAGCCACTCGTACAGCCCATCCGGCCCGTGAAATGCCGTCTTCCTAACGTCATCCTCCCTGATTTTTATCTAATTGAACCCCTGCCGCATGTCCAGCGTCGTGAAGAACACCCCCTCTGCTAACTTGTCAAATATCTCCTCCGCCATCGGCATTGGGTACCTGTCCGCCACGGTAATCTTGTTGAGCGCTCGGTAATCTCCGCACATCCTCCTGCTCAGGATCTCCCCTGTTAAGTCCTTCCTCGCTGCCACCACTGTTGGTGTGGCGTATTCTGATTCTGAGCGCCGGATCAGTCCGGCCGCTAGCAGCTCCTTAATCTTCTCCTTGCATATCTCTTCATCTCCGTGCGGCATCTTCCTACGCCGTTGGAACACCGGCTCAGTGCTGCTCAGTTTCAGCTCCATCTCCTTCATTTTGCACCTTCCCAGTTCTTGCAGTGTGAAGGCAAAGCACTTCCTATGCTTGGCCAGCAGTCCCAGCATAGCTTCCCTTCCCTCTTCACTCATCGCTTCCCCCACTGTCCACTTCTCTCCCTCCTCCTCCTGGCAGGTCCATGCTCCTTGTGGGGCTGCTGCTGCCGCCACCTTATCTGCCTCTTGCCCCCCACCCAAGACCATCTCTCGCCACATCCTCTGCACCAGCCACCTCATCATGTAGCCATCCATGGCATTCCCCATTGCCCTCCTCCTGTCTTCCTCGCTCACCCCTGGTGCTGCCGTCACGTTTTCTCCATATCCCATAGCCAGCTCCCTCTCTAATGCCGTCGGTTCCTCCCACCGTCCCCGCTTGTGGTCATATATCACCCGGGTCCGGGCTCCCCCTTTTCCCACCTGTAGCCTGCTGCCTCTGCAAAAGCGACCAAGGTGGGCAGAGCCCTCCTGTCCTGCCCCACCTGGTTGCACGGGTAGTGCCTGCTGTAACTTCTTTGACAAACTGGCGCGGGAGTCCGTCCCGGCTCCAGGATGTCCACCACCCTCCTCCCTGTAGCCCTCCTCATCCCCTCTGCTTCCTCCTGCAGATCCAGCACGGGAACCACATTTGCCAGTACATCCTGAGGCGGTGAGCGTACGACCCTGCCCTGGCTGCATCACAGCTCATCCCTTTTCCCACGTGCCGGCCAATCCTCTCCCTCACCAGCCGAATCGGCTCTCTACAATCCCCTTCTAGATCCAGATTCTCTAGCAAGTAAGCCACTCTGCCCTGCCTCTCCTGCAGCCACTCCAGGATATTGAACAGGTTGTCCATCAGCTTCGTCCTCGGGTCCTCCCCTCCCTTCCCTTTTCCTGCCCATGACACCCCTTGACACTCCCATCCCGCCACCAGCAGGTCCACCTGCCCCCAGCTGGCCACCTGCTCCTCTGTGATCTGACTCACATCGTGCACCGTACTGCTCATGGCTTCCTGAATTACTTTCTCACTCAGGAGGTCCGGGAACTCAGCTCTCAGCTTCCGCGCGTGATGCTCAGCCATCCTTCTCACCTGTGATGCCAGTTCCACATAGACCCACTGCTGCACTGCAATCCCACTCCTCACTGCTGCCGCCAGCCCTGCCCCGATTCCTCCGAACAACTCTACTAGCCGGATGGGCTGCTGCCAATCGCTATGCTGCCCCGGCTTGTCCATCAGTTTCATCCTGGGCCCCTCCTTGGTCTCTGCTGCTCCTCTCTGCCCCCTTTGTGCCCCTCCTGCTCCGACCTGATAGGCCCGCTTCGGCTCCACCCTTACAAACTGCACTGGCAGCTGCCCCAATGGTCCCTCCTTCTTCCAGTATCTCGTTCGGAACTCCACCTTCTCCATCCAGGTACATATGCTCATGCCTACAGCGAACACCAATTCCGTCCCCATCAGCAGATCAAAGTCCTCGGACTCCGAGATTCCACACTTCATCCTGATCCTTGTTTCATGCACCCCTCCTGGCAGCAGTGTCAACTCTATGGGGGTCCGTGTGCACAGCATCCACTTTGGTTCCCCTCCCTCTGCTGTCATGACTAACATCCCCTTCGCCACGTGCCTCTCAGGGGCCATCAGCCCCAACCGTTCGGCCATCCCCTTACCCAGCATCACGCTCTGTGCTCCTGTGTCAAAGATCGCCGTCTTTACCTTCATCCCCCCCACTTCCACCGCTCCTGCTTCCACGAGCAGCACCGAGGTCTGGCACGCGAGTCTTTCCTGCGGGTGGCGGGCTGGGGTCTTCTCTCCTCCTGGCGCGTCCGGCCTGGACCCCTGCTCACGTGGCTTCCGGCTATGCTCCTGCCTGCCATCCTTCCCCCCGCTACGCAGCCCCATCTGTTCCCTGCCTCTCCAGGCCATGAGGGCACACTGCACGTCCGGCTCCACCCCTTCTCCCTCCTCGTCCCTAGCGTACATCCCCGCCTCCGCTCCCCACCCTGACCCCATGGCCTGCAGTTGAGACTGCAGCCTGCTGATCTGCCGCTGCAGCTCCTCTGGTTTCCTCCTTGCCCCTCCCTCCCGCTGGTAACACTCCTTGGCCTCGTGCCCCTTCTTCCCGCAGATTTCACACTTCGCCGCATCCGGACATTCTCGTTTCCGGTGCCCAGGCTTCCCACATCCATCACAGTTTTTGCACTCTCTGCGGAGGTGCCCCATCTGTCCACACCGGTAGCAGGTGCGCGCGTCGGCTCTCTCTTCCCCGTGTGGGTCCACCCTCCCTCGCTCCTCTGGTATCATAGCCGCCGCCCATGTCGGTCTGCGGCTCCTCTCTGTCGGCCTCGGCAGGTAGGCCTCATACCTCCTTTGTGCCAGCTCCACCCTTTCCGCCAGGTCAAACACCTCCTCTAGTGCCGCATCCGCCCCCAACTCGTACACCCTCATCCTCAGTCCCCCCCCCAGTGTTTCGTCCAGGCCTCCAAGAAACTTACTGATGAGGAGGCTGCTGTCCGAACATTTCACATCCTCCGCCAAGTTTATCAATCGGTTGTAGTAGGTCAGTAGGGATTCTGTTCGTCCCCTCCTGAACTCCTGAAACTCCCTTATGCGCTCCGCCGTGTGTCCCGGGAATTGACGCTGAAGCCGCTCCAGAAATGCCTCGGTGGGATCCTCCCCGTACCTCCCTGCCCTCCACAGCAGCTCGTCCATCCTCATGCGGTACAGGGTCTCCGCCTCTCCCTCCAGTGTGTTGGGCAGGCTCAAGAAGAAGTCTATTGGGTCCATGCCTTGCCTGTCACAGCGGTATCTCACGTTCCCCACCTGCATCAAGTAATTCTTGAGGGCCGGCCCCACCCGTTGGTCCCCCGAGAACCTCGCCGGCACTTCCACCCGCGTCGCGTTGGCTGTACTTCCCCGCCCTTCTCCCCACGATTCCCTGGCCCCTCCCAGCCGCTCTTCCCCAGTCCTTCTCTCCTTGGCCCTCTCCATGCCTTCCCTGGCCTCTCGGGCCCGCTCAGCGCCATATGCTAAGCTCCCCCCTCCAGCTCTGCTCTCCCGCCGGTTCCAGCCCGAGTCACCGTGCCTTTCTCTCGGGCCCCTCTCCTCCCCCGCACGCCCTCGTGTTCGTGCCGGCGAGACTCATGTCTCTCTCCACCTCGCCGTGCTCGTCTCTCGCTGCCGCTGCCTCTCTGGCGACGGTTCCCATGCTTCTCCCCTTCCTTGCTGCCGTCGATCTCCGGGCGAGCGCCTGTCTCCGCCGCCTTCTCTTCCCCGCTGCTGCCGGACGAGAGGCGAGCGGAATCCGCCGCTCACCCTCCTCTCCCATTGCGCTTGCGGGCCAGACGTCCGTGCCTCCCCGCCGCGCCCCTCTTGCCGCTGGCCGCGCCTCTTTGATGAGCTGGGCCCCTCCTCGTGTCCTTCTTCCCACTGCCAGTGGTGGCTGGCTGCGCGTGGCTCGCCCTCCCATCCTCCCTTGTGCATCAGCTGCCTGTCCGGCGATCGTGCGTCGTCTTCGCCCCAGCCCCCTTGTGCCTGGCGCCAGTCGAGTGCGCGAGGGTTAACAGAAGGCCGCTCCCAGCGCCGCGATCCTTCCCTTGACGCGCGCGGTCCCTCTTCCTCCCTTTTGCCGCGTTCTCCTTGCGTCCCCACAGCGCCGGCATGCACGCCCCAGTCCCGCCGCTCCTGCTGACGCAACCTCTCCGCGTAATGCTCCTCCTGGCGGCTTGCGTCGCGGCCGCGTGATTCCGACCGTCCCGACCGCGATCCTTCCGCCCCTGCCTGGCTTGCGCCCCCGGCAACGTCCGCCTCTTCAGGCTCGGCGCTTCCGAGCCCAGCCGCGGGTTCCTCGCCGTCATCTTCTCCGTTGGCGTCTTCGACCGCCCGTTCCATGTTCGCTGCGTCCTCCTCTGCCTCTTCCTCGCCGGACGTCTCCCACGCTTCTTCCTTTTCTGCGGCCTCCCCTCCTTGGTTGGCGTCGAATCGCTCGACGCCCTGCCAACGGCCCCTCTCATCACGGCGGCGCCCGCGCTCTTCCGGCGAGCGGAACACTCCCACAGTGCGTCGGTCTCCGCTCCCGTATCCATCTCCGCGATCATGCCCTCTTCGCCACACGTCTCCGTCCACGCTTGCGGCGTATCCTTCTCCACCCACTGCCACGCTAGGCCTCCCTTCCGCCCGTCGGTCCCCAGCGACGGGGACTCTATCTGCGCGAAATGCCGGCCTTCGCGGCGAGCGCTCCAGAGATCGCCCGCGCTCATGTGACGGCTCACCTCGTGCTCGTTCCTCCTCCCGGCGACTAAACACCCTACCCCAACGTAGCTCATATTTATCCATGACTGCGTGTCGCGGCCTATTGTTCAGTATGAACAAGATCACTCCCTCACCCCACCGGTTCCTTCTTAGTGCTGTGCCACCGCGTGTAGTAGCTAGGATAACAGCCCTGCACTAGTATGAAAGAATACTGAACAATAGGCATCGAGTGAGTGGGCGTGGGTGACCTTACCCAACCTCGGCTTGCACATTTCCAATGTGCGGCTCGAGGTTGGGATTTGTTCGAATCCCACATTTCGCCCTTCGGTGCTTTTCCCCCTTCATCCCAACCGCTCCCACATATTTCCCCCTTTCTGCACCCCTTTGCAACCGACACTTCGCTACTGGCTACACCTCCTACACTACTTCTTATCTATCTACCTCAATGCATTCTTAGCTATTTGCTATACTACTTCCCAGCACCGCACTCTACTGTTATTGCATATGCATCCCTTGCATATGCGGTGACACCCTCTACTGCTGACCCGCGCTGTTTCTGCGCACCGACACCTCTCTGCCGCCGTTCTACATCCTCGTGTACGTCGACGACTTGGTCTTTGCCACTGCTGACACTGCTGGACTCGCCCACGTGAAGTCCGAGCTGCAGAAGAGACACACGTGCACTGACCTGGGTGAACTGCGCAGCTACCTTGGCTTGCAGATCACCCGGGACAGAGCACGCCGCACCATTACCCTGACTCAGTCACACATGGTGCAGCAGGTCCTTCAGCGCTTCGGCTTCACGTACTCCTCGCCTCAGGCCACTCCTCTGCCTACTCGCCACTCGCTCTCAGCTCTGCCTTCGGATGAGTCCGTAGAGTCGAGTGGCCCGTACCCAGAGCTTGTCGGCTGCCTCATGTACCTGATGACCTGCACACGACCTGACCTTGCATACCCTCTTAGCATTCTTGCACGCTATGTTGCTCCTGGGAGACACAGACCAGAGCACATGACCAGAGCACAGGGTGTTGCGCTACTTGTGCGGTACGTCGGGCATGGGGCTAGTGCTTGGAGGGCAGAGTCCAGTGGTCCTCACTAGGCACGCAAACAATTCTTGGGCTAACGACCAGGCTACACAGCGGTCGTCACAGGGTTACACCATCAGCCTTGGTTCCGGCTCTGTTTTGTTGCAGGCTACTCGCTCGTCTTCTGTTCTCGGCTCCACTTGTGAGGCTGAGATCTACGCCGGAGCCATGGCTGCTCACGAGCTTCGCTGGCTCACCTACCTGCTGACTGAACTCGGAGAGCCGCCTCGTTCTCCTCCAGTGCTGTACATAGACAACAAGGCCATGCTGGCCTTGTGTCGGGAGCAGCGCCTGGAGCACAGAACGAAGCACATTGCTCTCCGCTACTTTCTTGCTCGTGAGCTGCAGCAGCGTGGTCAGTTGCGACTTGCGTACGTGGCCTCTGAGGCCAACACTACTGATATCTTCACTAAGGCACTTGCACCTTGTGATCATCAGCGCTTCTGTACTCAGCTTGGTCTTGTACCTGTCTTGCCTCACTTACTCACTTCTTGATATTGCTTGTACTGTGATATATAAACATACTCCTGCTCTTGCTTGTTTAGCCTTTTATATATATATGTGTTCCTGCATGTGAACTGGCCTTCTGGCCTTGAACTTGTGCTCGGAATGTGTGGTGACTTTGTGATCCACCCTGAGCTTTGCTTTGTTTTGCTTGACTGGTCTTGTGACCCCTTGTTCTCCCCCACTTTGCCTATGGGGGTGTGTCAAATTATAATGTTGTGTAGGCTATAGTGGGGTAGCCCATATGGGGTACACATTTCTAGGGTTGCATATTTGTATCACTTTCGTTCCTTACTTAATCATTCTCGTTTCAGTTTTCTCACTGCACGTTGCCTACGAGCTTCACTCTCTTGACTTCAGCACTGCTTTCTTATAGGGCAGCCTGCACTAGGAGATCTGGTTGCGCCGCCCTCCTGGCTTCACTGGGTCGTTCCCTCCTGGTACCCAGTGGAGCCTCCGGCGGCTGGTCTACGGTCTCCGCCAGGCGCCACGTGAGTGGCATGACACACTGAGGACTACACTTGCGGCTCTTGGGTTCGCGCCTTCTACTGCTGACCCGTCGCTGTTTCTGCGCACCGACACTTCGCTGCCGCCATTCTACATCTTTGTGTACGTCGACGACTTGGTCTTTGCCACTGCGGACACTGAGGCTCCCGCCCTGGTGAAGTCGGAGCTGCAAAAGAGACACACGTGCACAGACCTGGTTGAGCTGCACTTTACCTTGGCTTGCAGATCACTCGGGACAGAGCACGCCGCACCATCACACTGACCCAGTCACACATGGTGCAGCAGATCCTTCAGCGTTTCGGCTTCTCCTGGTCCTCGCCACAGCACACTCCTCTGGCTACAGGTCACTCGCTCTCAGCTCCACCTTCGGACGAGTCCATAGAGCCGAGTGGTGCTTACCCAGGGCTAGTGGGCTGCCTCATGTACCTGATGACCTGCACTCGTCCTGACCTTGCGTACCCTCTTGGCCTTCTCGCTCGCTACGTGACTCCTGTTAGGCACCGACCAGAGCACATGGCTGCTCCTAAGAGGGTACTGCGCTACTTGTGCAGTACATCAGGCATGGGGCTCATGCTTGGAGGGCGGAGTGAGGTGGTCCTCACTGGGCACTCGGACGCTTCTTGGGTTGACGATCTGGCTACGCAGCGGTCGTCATAGGGTTACACTTTCAGTCTTGGCTCCGGCTCTGTTTCTTGGGGGTCTACACGCTCGTCTTCTGTTCTCGGCTCTAGTTGTGAGGCTGAGATAAATGCCACAGCCATGGCTACACAGGAGCTATGCTGGCTCACCTACCTGCTGACCGACCTGGGAGAGCGGCCTCGTTCTCCTCCAGTGCTGTACGTAGACAACAAGGCCGCCATTGCCTTGTGTCAGGAGCACAGATTGGAGCACAGAACGAAGCACATTGCTCTGTGTTACTTCTTCGCTCAAGAGTTGCAGCAGCGAGGTTAGCTTCGTCTTGCTCATGTGGCCACTCGGCCCAACACTGCTGATATATGCACCAAGGCACTTTCGTCTGGTGATCAACGTTTCTGCACTTTGTTAGGCCTTGTGCCTACTTTTCCTCACTTGCTGTAGTCTCTGCTTCTACTGTTATCTATACATATATACCTACATGCTTGCTCTTGCTAGGTAGAGATCACTGCACTGTTCTTGTTGCTTGTATACCTCTGCATAAGGACTGGCCTTGTGGCCGTTTGCTTGTGCTCAGTGTGTGTGGTGACGTTGTGATCCACCCTGAGCTGTGTATTGTTTCTTCTCTTGACTGGTCTTGTGACCATTGCTTGCTCTGGCTATCCCCCATTTCGCCTATGGGGGTGTGTCAAAATATATGCATGTTATTATCTAGGCTATATTGGGGCTAGCCTTAGGGGTTACAGAAAACTTCTCGACACCCTAGTCTTGTACCCCAACTTTGACCTAATGCATCAACCTACTGTAACAGGTGCCAGCGAGGTCGACAGCAGCAGTAGAGGCAACAGAGGGCAAAAGGGGGACGGGGGAGCACCCCTCAAAGAAAGGGGCACGAGGGACACCACGAGAGGCTCCTACAGCGACTATACTCTTCTCAGCTGCAAGGAGGCGCTCCTCGAGGAGGTCAACGGTGAGCGCGGTGGGGCAAAGGGAGAGGGAGTGGTCCCTGACCGAGCGAAGGGAGTCAGGGAGCCGGGTGACGAGGTAGTAGAGGGTGATGTACATAGGGGGTGGGTTCTTGGCGCAGAACTTAAAAGGAAGCATAGCATGGTAGCGGGTGCCACTAGTGCGGAGGTGGGTAATGAGGTCAGCAACTGTGGCAAAAGCGGCTAGGTGAGGGAACAGGTACGGCAGCATGAGGCGGCTAAGGGCAGTAGTGGCAGGGGAGGAGTAGCGCGCAACAACAGCGTCGTACAGAGTCCTAGCGGTCTTGAACTGGCTAAAATGTGCGCGCTCAGTAGACGGTAGGTGACTACGAACAGCAAGACGAGCAGCAGCATCGCGCATGGTCCACTACGAGCGAACTTCACTGTCAGCATCGGCAGCAGGTGCAATAGAGATGCCGGACATGTGATCGAACAGCGAGACTCCATCCCTATAGTCGCATTGCAGAAACAGCTGGAGATCATCAACTAAGACCTCGAAATTAACTGCTCGACCCTCAGCATCGAAGGTAAGTACACTAGGGCTAGCCATGGCGGCAGTAGCAGCAGTAGCAGCCAGAATTTGGGAAGCGAACTCAGGTGTGCGGTAAGCGAGCTCAGGTGTGCCGGAAGCGAACCCACGTGTGCAGTAAACGAGCTCAAGCGTGACACAAGCGAGTTCAGGTGTGCGGTAAGCGAGCTCAGGAGTGCCAGAAGCGAACTCGGGTGTGCGCTAAACGAGCTCAAGTGTGCGGGAAGCAAACTCAGGTCTGCACTGGCGCACTTGGCAGGGCGGGCGCTCACCAGGGGCGGGAGTAGGGCAGGGCCGCGATTGGCAGGACAGGGCCACGACAAGTTGGCAAGGTAGGGCCGCGACGAGTCGGCAGGGTAGGGCCACGTCGGGGCAGCGTCAAGGCCACGTCAGGGCCGCGTTAGGGCCGCGGCGGGGCGGCAGAGAGCAAGGCCGCGACTAGCTGCGGCAGGGCAGGGCCGCTACGAGCGGCGGAGAGCAGGGCCGCGACGCGCGGCAGAGAGTAGGGCCGCAACGAAAGGCAGCAGGGCAGGGCCTCGACGACGGCTAGGGTGGGCCACAAAGGGCAGCGACAGGGTAGGGCCGCGAACGGCGGCTAGAATAGGGCCGCGACGGGTCGTTAGGGTAAGGCCGCAACGGGCCGTGAGGGCAGGGCCGCTAAGGGCGGCAGCAGGGCAGGGCGCGCGACGGGGCTGGCGAGGCAAGCGCGATGCGGGCTTTGGGCAGGGCAGTAAAAAAAAAGGTAACTAATACGGTGGGCCTTAAAAAAAAGATCACATTACAAAGGAACGCAGAGATCACACGAGCACCCGTGCCTAGCCTGCAGTCTAGCTCTTGTTGCTAAAGTTATCTCCGCAGTTACCCACTAGTAATAGCAACAGCTAAAGCACCGCTGCCACCGCCAAGGCGCTCCCCTTGGAAGCTGCCATCGATCCACCCGAGTCATAATTAACAGATAAAAAATTGACGTTTGCGCAGAGTTGGGTAGACTTTCACGCACTACTTTTGGCAACAATTTCAAAAGCCGAGATTGGTCCATATCCGAACTTGCTTGTAGAGGGTCAAGCTATCAGGCTGCAAAAATTAGTATGATATAAAGTCAAAGCTTGAATTCTAGATACTTGTCCTTGCAGCGAGCGGGTAGGAGTCTAGCCATCAAAGAATGTGACACAAGCCTCTAAATAAGAGACTTTCGTGTCACTTCCATCCCAGTACAACTTCAGCTCCTAACAACCAGACCAGGGCGTGCGACGCAATCCCAAGGCGAAATTCGGCTTGGGGCAGCTGATAAGGAGACCTGTGGCGACGGCGAGGCGAGGTCCGGTCGAAAAGAATGCAACATCGAGGGAGAAGGACAACGTTCAAGATATTCGAACTAGACTGGTTGGGTTTAGTGTCATATGCGCTAAATCAGTTTGTGATGCGAATTCGAGCCTCAAAATCTGGAACTTCGTAGGTCTTCTACGACTTCGTGATTAAGTTCTGATTTGCCTCAACATACACCAAATATTGATCACCCAAGAAGTCCCCCTTTCAAGTGGAGCTGCAACACTAGAACCTGTTGCATAAGAATTCATTACCGTCATCACCCGGATACACCCTCATGTAGGCTAATAAAAAACAATGACAAAATCCTGGTGGGCTTATAGATTTGTGATTAAATGGCACATATAGATTAGTGATTTTAAAACAAAAGAATGTGGATTTAACCCTTGCGCATTCAATCGATGCTAACACAAAGTAGGTCGCTGCTGAAACTTTGCGAGAATGCGTTGTAGTGGCAATAATCCCTGTTAGCACCTGCTAAACTGTTGCAATTTTGTCTTGCGCTTGCGCTCCCATGGCAACTTCGCCAAGCGAGCCAAGGGGGATTTTGCTAGGCACACCAGTGGTGATTGATTTAGTCGCGTTAGTGGCAATTTCATTAAAAAAAACACTAAAATTTAACAGGTGCACTTACACGAAGATTCACATAATTGGGGTGGGCTTATAATTGGCAATCGGCTATTTGCCCACGAGTCCGATTGTAAGCCTATGGGTGTAACATAGGCCTGGGGTAGGGTTATATCCGGGTGTGTACTTCGATAAAAAAACTGATTACTAGAGTGTTATTGTTAGATACCTTCTTGAAAACTGGAAACAAGGATGCTGGTCATGGGAGAGCATCTCAAATCCTATCCAAAAATACTGACCCTTGTGCTCCTACTGCCCTGCAACTATAGTTCCGTGCTAAATACGGTAGGCCATGCCACATGTAGGCATAATGGGGAAAGTCAGCACCCTTTGGCTGGCTTCAATTGCAGCCAACTCCTAGGGTTATCACCTATCGAGCTAACACGGAAAAATGAGCTCACACCAAGTTGTGAGCCACCAGACCCCTCGGGACCCCTCACAGCAGAAACATCTTTGGAAGACACACCCCTCATTGCTTGCACTCCCTTCTCTTGCGACACTTTCCCACTCGTCCTCCTTGTCAAGGCAGTGCTTTTCAGTGAGGGTATTGAGGCGGTATACCACATCCTTCATGGTGGGTCGCCGTGTGCCAAGAGACTTGATGCAGTCCAGAGCCAGGTCTACAAAGTCCACTATCGCCTCCTCAGTGACCACTGGCATCTTGCTGTCCCTCAGCTCCTCTAGATTATACGCCTCCACCCTATTCATTGCCATGAGGGCACCCACACAAGGAAAGGACGATGCACGGAAAGGAAAGGATGTGATACCCAGAATGCTTATCAGCATAATAAGCAAGAAATGTGGTGCAAGGCAGCATGACAGAAAGGAAAGGTTGTGATACTCAGAATGAGTGGGAATTCAGGACAAACACATGGCCGTTAAAACATTTGAGTAGGAGACAGATTTGAGATGTGATAGGCACAAACATTCTCTGATATGCAACATCCATATTTGCGCCAATAATTAACATGGATCTGATACTTGCGTACCCATTTGCTTATATGAATTTTCACTCAGCAGCTCAAGGAGCGCGATTCCAAAGCTGCAAGCAAGCATGCATCGGAGACGAAGGAATAATCTTGGAGAAAAAAAAGAGGAGGGAGGTACAGGGAACAAGTATTCAACAAGCAGGAAGATTAGAAAACAAATAAGGTGCACAAGTTCAAGGCTTTGTGCAAAGGAACAAGCATGCATGCGAAACACGTATATGGAGTAGAACGTGCAGTTAAAAGAGAGACGTTAGCATGCTCTGTTCAGAATACACACACACATTTATAATATAAATATATATGTGTATTTTATATACGACTTGCAACAATTGAGCAGCCGTGCTAGTGAAACTCATGCGTGCAAAGAAGCGCAAATGCCTGGCAACCATTTTGCCAATCGTGCCAGAGCAACTCACGCTTGGTGGCATGGATATGATACTGGAGGTCCCTGTTGCCTATGAACTTGTACACAAGGATCTGCTCCTGCCTGCCCGTCTCCACGTTCTGGTCTAGGCAAAAGCCTAGCAGGCACACAAGATGCACGTGGTGCAGCGACGCCATGGCTCGCACCTGCAACATGGAAATGGATGGAACACAATGCAGGCTGATGCAGATGGGAAAGACGAGCACAGAATCTGCAGGTCAGCATTTTGGTCAGCATTTTCTATGCTCTGTAGGCGGAAAGCAGGGAGGGAGTAGAGTAATATGTGACCTCTGTTTCAAAGTCGTTGGTCATGATGGTGGAGCACTTGATGGCCCATAGCTAGCCCTGTAGCGAGTAGCCTTTGTACACAACGCCAAAGCCACCCTTGCCCAGCACGTTCTCCTCTGACCAGTTGCTGGTGTCCTTGAGCATCTGCAGCGAGAATTGCTCACACACATCCAACCCCTCCCACTTCTATGTGCAGATGACCAAGACATGGGGAGCAAGTGTCAAAGCATGTGCATGTTATCTATGTGTAGGCTGTAGTGGGGTAGCCAATATGGGGTACAGCCCCTTTTAGGGTTTCATACGTATACCCAACTCTTTCATATTTGATCCATTCCTGTCTCTAGATTCTAACATGGTATCAGAGCAGTAGGTCCGTAGGACATTTTTTTTATTTTTTTTCGGGCCCACCTACCGCTACCCCACGAGTGTGATTGTGACTGTGCCTGTGACGTGCTGCGCTGCGCGCGCCGTTCGCATGCTGCCTGCTGTCTGCTGACTACGCGGTCTGCCTGCTGCTTAGAGCGCGCAGACCTGATTCCTGCACGCGGCCCGGTTTTTGCCCCGCGCGTCGCCCAAGCTGCCCGAGTCGCGCCTTGGCAGCCCGCGCACGGCTCGCTGCTGCTCCACGCGCCGCATCCGCAGCCCGCGCTGCTTGCTGCAGCCCCGCGCGTCGCGTCCGCTGCCCGCGCGTCGCAGTGCAGCCCCGCGCGTTGCATCCGCTGCCCGCGCGCCGCGGGTGCCGTCCTCGCGCGGCCCGCTGCGGCTTCACGCGCCGCGCCCGCAGATCGCGTAGCCCGCTACAGCCCCGCGCGCCACGGCTGCCCCTGTTTGTCGTGGCGCCCCACCCCCCCTGGACGTCGGCCCGGCCTGTCGCGACGCCCCCCCCTGGACGCCACCCCTGCCTGACTGCCGCCGTCGCTCCTGCAGCAGCTGCC